TTGAGAGTTACGACTTAAGGAAAGCTTAGGCTCCAACTGAATTTAGTTGATATGAAATCCGATGGCGGGGATTATGTACATGGTCGTATCTTCAATGGAAACTAGCAGGCGATCTCTTTGGAATTGCATTCCTAAATGAACCTATTAGTTACTTTTAATTATGAAATGAAATTTTCTTAATAGTGCAAGCGAGAAGCATTTTTTTCTTTATAGGAATCCAAATTTACACTAGTACAAAAAATGCTATATACTATTTTTTCAAGTCAAAAGAGAATTTAAAAATGGTTACCAAATTAAACATTGCCTACAACTCGTCGTAAAATCTTAAAACTCCAACTGATTGTACTTATTTATATTTTCATACTGGCAATGTATTTTTTTCATTTTAATATTATAAGAATCACATCCATAAACATAAATTTCATGTGTTACCATCTTAAAGCCATTTCCTGTCGTATTACAAATTCCCGCATTTCTTTTTAGCTCTAGAAATCGGACTAAGCCGACTTTCGAACCTCTGAATTTCTAGAACAATGGCCCATAGATCATATTTTAATGGCTACTCGACTTTAACTCTATGTCGCTATTCTTTCGTACAATGAACTTTCGATACACAAATTTGCATTAACAAAACAAAAGCTCGAGCATTTTCTCACCCATTTTGTAATGCGTTACCCATTTTTATATACGTCTTGAAATTCTATTTCTAACCATCCATATATATATTATAACCTTATATATATATATATATATATATATATATATATGTGATAGCGATCTGTAACCTACCCGTCCTTATCGCACTATTTTTTTTTTTTTAATAATAATTTTGCTTTTGTCCCTGTTACTGATGTTCTTTATTTGTTTTTTATGGCCCACAACGATGGCGGCATCGTCGTCGACGGCGCGTCTTTTGATTGGTTCAAGTTGAGCGTTTTTAACGAGCTCCGATTTCTGCTGCCACCGAAAGATAGAGATAGAGGCTGGAAACAGAGGCTAAAAACCCGAATCCGGAGGCCTGAGACTTGGAACTGGGCGGTTAATCGCCAGCTAGCGATCAGCGGCAGTTGGAACCGAAGTTCTCTAAGTATATATAAAATATATAAGAAGTCATACTTCTACGTAATATTTCACCTATATTAGGTTTATACCTGGGACGCACACTTGGATTTAAAAATTGTTTAATACAAAAAAACATAACCAAAACACTTAAAAAAAAAACTAAGTGTTTATTTTTTATAAATTTACAAGTTTTTAAATATTTTCGGTTCGATATCTTTTGGTTGGTTACTTTTATTTAATTTCCTGTTCCTCTTTTTATTTTCCGTGTATATTCATAGAAGAAAGAGAGAAAGACTGCGTGGATGGGTTTTAGTCACGTGACTTCGATTCGTTAACCAAGATTAGCGGAAACTAGCAGGGATTGGCCAAGAAATACATCTAAATGCGGCCAGATGAATGTGGATAGATCTTGGCCGAAGGACAAGAGTTGCTGGATGCATCTGAACAGCTGATTGACAAAGCTAGATAACCAGGCAGTCGGCCATAATTAAGATCTCCGCCTGGCTGGACCTTATAGGCGGCCTGGGAAAGTTTCTATCTTTTTTGCAGATCATGAGTCCACTTAGCCGGGTCATGACTGGCCCACAAAATATAGAAATAAAAACCCAACCTAAAATATGAAATACAGAAGCAGCTGCCGAATGACTTTATTGCGCCGATCCGATACGATCCGACCCACATTTGAATGGCATCGTTCGATCGATCAAGTGATCCCCCGATCGATAGGTAATGCCAAGGAAGTTCCTAATTACATGACACGACCGCAGGTCCGGTTACCCGGTGTCCGTTCGCACCTGTAGCTCAGCAACTCATGGGAAGGAGTGGAAGAAAAACAGTCAGCACACGACCCCAAGTGGCATTTTAATTGAAATGGTTTTACTGTCTCTAGTTTTTTTTTATTTTCCTCTGTCTACACGTTCAAGGGTATATTGTTTTTGTGGTGATCTTACAAAACCGTTTTTAGAATTAAATATTATTTAATATTCTAGCTCTAGGAACTAGTCTATATATTTATGAAATTTTAAAATGTATTATATTTTAGAAAGTTTATAAAGCCTTAAAAACCGAACTATAAAGAAACTCCAAAACATAAAAATGATAAAAGAAATTACAGACCCGTTGCTACTTAAAAGTCTGAATTCTAGTTTTCTACCAAAATATAGAGTTTTAAGATACTCTTAAATTTTCGATCATTCACAATTTGCTAAATATTTTTGAAGGGTGTTTTTTAGTCGAATCAGTTTGAAGTTTCCTTTTTTGTTGGTTGTTTTTATTTTTTTGGTCGCGCTTGATTGATTTAGAGATCGGCACTGACCCGCAGCAACAGGACATTCATCCCGCTAAAAAGGAAGAAAACCACCACCACTGACACACCTTACTAGATCTATCACCACCATCTAGTTTGATCGGGGTTCCTGCGTTTTGCTGTCTTAGTAATTCTGTAGTTTTATGTATTATTGTATATATGATGCACCTGCTTGCCCTCTGGCCAAGAAGTCTTTGGTACTTTGGTACGGGCCATCAACTTGGCAAGTCACATAATGGAATTCCGAGCGGCATGCGATCGACACTCACCTCACCCTCTCGCTTGATTCCCCCTAGTGGAAACCCATGGAGAACTCCACCTCCCTGTATATACATATTATTTACCCTCAACCGGCTGCACAGTACGATCTTGTCCGTTGATCTTTTTGGTGCATTGGCTAAGTTAATTGGTTGTAAAACAATTTTTCGAATTAACATAAAAATGTTTCATTGGAAAAAAATTTTTAGATGTATATAGAGTTGGTCTCCTTCCACGAGTACAATTAACATTGGGTCTGTGGCTGGAATAGCTTCTTTTCGCCGTTCCGATCGAGCCCGCATATTAGAAGAACACAAACGGAACTTTATACAGAGGGTCTCTTACGGATAGTGGGAGTTTTACTTTTTTCAGTTCGTTCTGGGTTAGTCAGAAATGTTGATTAATGCGTAATGTAATTTGTGAGATGAGTGCAAGAGACAGCACTTATAATGTACGTTTAACTAAAAACTTATTTCAAATTTCCAACTGTATTTATTATTATAAAATAATAAATAATACTAGGTTTGCATCAGTAATTATTTACATGAAAAAATAGCAATTGTGTCTTCTGATCTAAATTTGAATGCAGATCTATTCATTATTCAGGGCAGAATTAGTACAACAGGAGTCGCTCATTCATTCATTTTACAAAAGTTCGTCATCGTCATCGAAACTGCAATCGTCATTCATTGTCATTGGCAGCGCTAATGTGGGATGTGTGATATGCAATGTACCGCAACTGACGAACTGGCGAATGGAACAAGAAAGCCAACACCGTATGCCCAACCAGCCAGACAATTGAATTGTTTCGGCGGCTCTTCGGTTCACTCTTTTTCTCGTACACCCCTTCTAAAAGTCGCTTTCTGAAATTACCCCTCCATGTAACGCTTCTCTTATTCCCCTCACCCACCAGCAGCACCCGCAAGACCATTGAACCATGAGCTGGCCACAAATGCAAATTGAATGAAATGGGAAATGAAAATACAAGTGTGAGTTTGCGCAGCGGTGCACTCAGAAAAATGTGTTTTTAATTGAAAAAATGTAAAAATTAATACAACTTTTTATTAAAATATGTAGTTTTTTTATAGGCATTGGGAACTTAAATACTTTGGCACAATTATTAAAATATATATTTAAGACTTCTATAATTTAATATAACTTTTTCGATTTCTTTAAAATCTTTTCCAGTGCGCACGAGTGCAGGCCGCCCAGAGACCCGCGCAAATAAAGACAATGGTAAAACGACTTTTATTGGTTCCATTCGATGATTACAGCGCGGCTTCAAAGGCCGTCAGTTGTGGCGTACTTAGTGACACCATTAACGCCGGCTATACTACACTGATCTCCTGCCTTCCCCCTCGCATTTTTTGTAGCGGTAGCTGCTGGGCTACCAACACATCCACATCCGGAGTGCGCGCATGCGCAGGCCGTCTGTTTGATTGATTTGGTTCCAATGCAAGGGTTGCCGCTTTTCTGGCCTTTCTCTCCGCTCGACTTGGAGTTTTATTCGTTTTATTGTTGGACCGCCAGAAATGTTGAATGTTTATTACAATTGGTGTGAAATTTCACACCGCAATGCTTAAATGATTCCCGGACGCAAGTCGCTTCCTCTTCTTTTTTCTTTTCTCTTTGGTCCGCTATCGGTATCACAAACAAGGCGCAAAGAGGCTCAAGCTACGAAAGGTGGGCTCAAGAGAAAGGGGAGGAGAATTTGCAAGGGAATATACAAAAATTAAGACCACAAATCCTTTGTAGGTAAAATTTAAGGACAGACAAAACTGTTATATTTTCAATGTTTGAAAACTTTATAATACAGTTCCTTCCTATGCAATTTAAATATGGATTTTTGTTATTGGTTTAATTCTTTAAAAATCTGTATTTCAATGTTTTGTGTTTTTTAATCTTACAAGACTTACACAAAACTGTAATTGATCAACATCAATTTTGTATAATCCGATTTTAAATAAATGTTTATAAATTCTCTAAAAATTTGAATCAAAAAATTATTTGGAATTTTTGATTTTTAGAAGTCTTAGTACTCAAAGAGCTAATATGGTTAAGGTAAAAGCTGAAGATAAAATTTTTGATTCCCTGAGTCAGAATTATCCACATAAATACATTTTTTTCAACTTTCTCAAGAACTCTAACTATAAAACAGTCCAGCAACAAGTGTGTGTGTGTCTGTCTGCCTCTGCTCTTCCGCTCGTCTAAGTTGTCCATTCGATAATTTCCTGGGTTCACTGTAATTGCCGGCCCTTGAAGTGCTGGATCCCCCCATTTTTTCCACTACTCCCGGCGCCCATGGAAATGCAACTGAAACTGCAACAATTGGCGTCACGCTTCGCTGTCCGTTTGCATACGACCAGAATGCAGAGAAAATACAGGACAGAGCACTGAGAACCAAGAACTGGGAACTCTGGATATATATATAAATATATACGATGTTATAGGGCTGATTGAAAGATTATTTTGCACTGATAACGCTAAAAACGCATGGATGGCTGACCCAACCGCAAAGTTCCAACATCAACCACCAGGCATCGAGCACCACCAAACAAGCAAGCAAACAAACAAACAAAACAACAAAAGTCAAATAGAGCGAGGCAAAGAGCGGCACCAAAATTGCTTTTCGAAAATTGTTGAGCTTTGGGTTTGCGTGTTTACAATTTTTGTATTCATTGTCCGCTACTTTGCTGACTGCGGTGGTCGTTGTCGTCATCAATTCGCAATGCATTTCCCACATTTTTCTGGCCCAGGCCCAGACCAGCGCGCATCATCATTAATAATATTGAAAAGCCCTAATTACGGTTAAGTGGCCCAAACGAGAGAAAAAAAATAACATCCAGAGACGGAAACCCAAAAGAGGGGACTTCCATATCGAACTTTGCAAAGGGTTCGGCGGTTCAGTTTTGGGTTTTCTTCTCCCCTCGACGTTACTGAAGCAGATCATCATCATCATCAGAACTGTGTGGCTCGCTCATTGCGTAAATCATTTTTCCCACCCCTAAACTAAAATAAAAGCAATGAGGGCTAGTCACCTGCCCAAGGTGCACTAAAAATTGCAGGTGCATCAACCTTCATTCCTGACCTACGACGACCCTCGTGTTCTTTAGGTTCTCAGCTCGTCTTAATGAAATCATTTATAATTTTCCTTTCTCCCCTGTGTCGTCTTGCGGTTGGGTTCGATGGTTTTCTTCCTTCTACACAGCTACATCTCTTCCCCATTGAGTTTTATGTTTTCCCTTTGGACGCTTGATTGCCCATTTCGAAACTATTGATAGGGGATAGTTTTAGTTTTAGCACGTGGCTACTGGTAGGTCACCTGCTCAGCGGCCTCAGCTGCCAAGGGTCAATTCTAATGATTATTACAAAAAAAAAAAAAAATATACATACTAAAAGAAACACTCAGCAGGCATAGAATTATCAAGCACATACACTAGGTAATATCATGTGATATATTTATTTTTCAAATACCTTTAGTAAACCTTGCTATACATCCAGTAAACGCAAAGATTTTCATTTTCAAAACAAACTTCAAAACCTAAAGACAGCGGATAGACAGAAAAATAAAAAATAAAATTCGAAAACAAAATTATAAAAAAGCACACACATACAACCAACATATTCATTTATAAAGCCATAGTGAACAAAAAACCAAAACTCTTTCGGCCCAAGTTTAAATTAATTGTTATCGTTATTATCACTCGAAGACCATATTCATCACCATATCTTAACATTGCCCGAAGGAATGCAGCAGAATATCTGGAGCTCACCACAGGTGGGTGGTTCTGGTGGTGCATTGAAGGCCTTGGCCAGGAATGTAGCCAATCATCTCAAGCTTAACCGGAGCAGTATGAAGCGAGTTGTGGCTCAGGTAGTCGCTGAGCACCACACCCTCGGAGAGGTAGCCGACTACAAGGGTCACATGTACTTTGCAAAGCCGGATCGCTTAAATTTCCACGAACTCATTGCCCAGTCCAAAGAGGCTTTCGATGATCTCCTCCTCCACGAACCGCAAACTGCGAAAAAACGTTTAGCAAGCAAACAACGTTTTAAGATTAAAACTAATTCGAAAGTAAATCTGCAAATGAAAGTGTCACCACCTCAATTACCAATCTCAGCGAAGAAGTTTTTAAACGTTAAAAAATCAAATAAACCTGCGGTACGTTCAATGCCTAAAACTCCTCGGCCGAAAAAGACCTCCAAAACCATTTTCCAGCTGGCGGATGCAGGTCGTCGTAGTTTAAATGGTGTCATTATCGATGAATCGCATTTGCCGCCCGTTGGTGAACAACAAGAGATCCTGTTGCATGTTCCTTCGGCGTTAGTTAAACGCTCACGAAAGCATATACGGCAATCCCAGACTAAGATTACATCGGAGAAAATTCAAACGCCGAAACCATCAAAAGATCAACTTCAGAAGAAAACGGAATCTAGGACTAAGCAGCAAAGGAATCTGAAGTCAAAGAACAAGCAGAAGTTTCAAAAGGTGGTGAAAAATCAACAAAGAATAGAGAGTTCTAAGGGAATTAAATTCCTAAAAGAACCAAAGAAAATGCCTCCCGAAGATGAAAAGGTAAATCAACAAGTCCAGAAAAATTGTCCGAAAATTCCGACACAAAGTCCATCTCAGTTCTCTTCTCGTGCCATGTCGGGGTCACCTTCAGCCCCTCCGATAAGGCGATCCATTTCACCAGCTCGATTAATTCAAAAAAAGTCATCTATTGGGAAAATAAACAAACCCCTTCGCACCAGAAAATCTCAAAGGAGAATCAATGCCAGGGGTCGCGCTTATTATCATCGCATTAAAGCTGGAGATACTGAAAATTTAACTCCCAAGCCACCAGTTCAAAAAATCAATACGAGTTCGAAGATAGGATCATTCAAAAAGAAGATGCCTTTGCCACGTAGGAGCTACGAAAAACCCTGGCTAGTAAAACGCTCTAAACGACAGCGTCTATCTGGCGGATCTCAAGTGGCCAAGCTTAGGAATAAGGAGATTACAAAAAAAATAAAAAGGCTGGATAAAACTAAAACGGATCCGAAGAAGTTGGAAAATGACGAAAAGAACGAGCACATCGCGAAGACCACCAAGATGTTGCAAAAGAAAAGCTCTACACAGCTAAAGACCAATTTATCGTCCCACATTGGCCGCCAAATGCGAAACGTGAATTTTCCGTGGTATACCCCATATCAATTTCAAGGGGCTGCCGGAGCAACTCAAATACCAAATGCTGTTGCCGGGGTACCACCTTACAAACTGCTGAAAGAAAAGTATCGCAAACTTAATCAAAGATTGTCGATGATCCAACCAATACCGCAAATAAAACGTGGTCCCAATTTAACCAGTCGCCAAATGCACCATCGTCGAATGCAGGAACGTCTGATGAGGGATTTGCAACGAGAAGAGGCTATCGATGAACCATTGAGCAATGGATCCGGAGTTTTTCGTCGATCCCGCGGCGGATGGCAACCACCTCGAAAGACTAAGGAGCAAACTGAGCAACCGATGAACAAAGCGGAGGAGGATAATCGTTCTGTGGAGCGCACGAGCTCGCGGGTCAAGCGTTTGGAAAATAATGGACGCTGTCGCCAAACCATCGCCACTAATGAACGGATCATAATCCCGCCACCAAAGACTAGAAATAATCGTAACAAAGGTATGGCCCCAAATCGTCCAGTTTCCAGTCCACGAATACGTCGAAAATTCCGTTCCGTTCCGGTGGGCAGTAGCCTGGGCAGCATCGCCTTAATGAGTCAGCCAGAGCAATCGAAGCAAGTTCTAACTCCAGCCAAACGTCATCTTACTATTGCATTTATGAACAAGAGATCAGAGCGAACCAATCAAACCATTCAGCCCTGGAAATAGAGATTCTTGATTTTGATCAGTTTGGCACTTACTTTTCTAAGGATGCTGAGGATTAGCTAACAATTCTGTTCTTCTTTTTTTGGAGATAAATAAATTTTCAAGTTAGAATGTCAATTAAGTGACATTATTACTATATTGAATATGCTTTATAGAATTCTTCCAATTTTGATTCAAGAATCTAAATCTATCGCCTATATAATATGCACGGGAATTTTATTAAAATACCATGTATAAAAGCATTTTTTTCATTTAATTCAAACAAATTGAATAAATTTCTTAAAGATACAAAAAGTAATTTGTGAAGACAACCAACACATGTTGCCATACAGGTGGCTTCTTGCCGATTAAATCGTTCCGAAAAGGGATTCAAATTTTCGCGACAAGGTCAGCAATGAAAAACTTTTAAACTCAGCGCTTAACCCCGTGTCAAATGTCTTTCACTCGAGGTCTTGCCAATAGAATCCTTCAAACCATATTTCCCCAAAAAAAAACAAACCCCACCCTTATTTAAATTTTGATAAAACGTTTTTTTTTTCATGCATGCAACGAGACAACAGGGTCAAATTCCATGGGGAGTAAAAAGTTAGCCCGTCAATGAGCTCAAAACAAAACTGACAACGAAACTGAATAATAATATGTATATATATTTATATATATGTGTTGGGGAAAAAGGAAATAATACAAGTGAAGACTGAGGAGAAACAACAAGGCCATAATTTAAGTCGCTAAAGTTTTGCGCCTTTTGTGCGCCCAGCACAAAAGTTATTGAAAATCGCGCAAGGGTTCAGTTTTCGTCGAAAAAAGGGTTCGAAATTGAAAAAGAAAGCGAATATCAGGTGGTTGGTTGAAGGCTTTTGGTTTGTGTGGGTAACATTGGTGTAGGTGATTTAGTGTTAAATAAAAACTTTTAAATTGCCATTTGATCGTTTGTTTAGCGACAATAATGCCGTCGTTGCCAGTCTTTTACGCTATTCACTTCAATTGAATGTGCCTAGGGTCCTGTGTCACGTTTAAAGGTCGCTTCTTAGCGACTGTGGATTTCGTATTCGTATTCCAATACATATTCCTTTACAACAACAACAACAACAACAAGAAAATGAAAGGGTGAGGAATCCTGGAAGAGGTGGAGGCCAAAAGGCAAAGGACCTCGGCGAGGGCGTCGTGACAATGACATTGTTTCGCTGACAGTCGTAGCAAATTTATTGAAAAGGTGTTCCCTAGCATTTGTTTCGTTTCGTTACGTTACTTTACATTTTTTTTTTCTCCTTTTTTGTATATTTTCCGTTTGCTGTGTCTTCGGGAATTGTCAAAAATTTATTGATATGTTGAAATTGCTTCTTGGCCTGCCATAAAAACCTTGACAGCTCCATTTTTTCGTGCACCATCGGTACGCTCATTGTAGTAAATTTGACAACAATTGTTTTGTTTGACAGTTTGTCGTCTCTGGCAAAATGATGATGTCAATATGCAAAGCAGTTTTGCGAGGGTGATGCCGGCAAAAAATAAAAAAGGAAAAGAAAAAACCCAATCGAGGGTTCTCAATTTGAATGGATGAAAGAATGGGTTATTGGTAAGTTGACAGCAGCCGTTGACAGCGTTCAGAATGTATGAACGTTAAAACAGATTTCATTCATCTTTAAATATAACTTTCAATAGCTTTTGGTGATTTTATAAGGTAAACTTAAAAAGAAATACACACATAATCACCGAAGAGGGAGAGATACATAATATTTTTTAGGGGACTGTTTCGTTTTTCGCTTAATCGCACTAGGATTTCTAAAAATTGTAGAATAAAGATGGTTGCAAAATATAAACAAAAAACGTGGAGAGCGTTCAACCTGAAAATATGCTTAAAGACAATTGGTTGTCGGCTGGTTTGGTTGTTCTGTTGTTTGGCTAAAGGCACAGCCCAGTCACCAACCTTTAGCTTGCCAGTATTCAGTTTTCCAGTCTTCTTCAATCCCCGCTGATTCGTTGGCCTGTAGACTCTTCTTTCAGCTCTTATTTTAAGTTTTCTTCGATGTTAAGCGAAGCGCGAATATTTTTAGAGAGTCATAAGGGGAAGGGCCCCAGAAGGGCAAAGGGTAGGCAGGAATTTATTAATAATTACCACACCGACTGAGAAGGAACGAGATAGATTGAAATAGTACATCATAGTTGAAAATTTATTTGTTATTTATCTTTTTGGCATTATGCATGAATGGCAATAAAAAAAAAATACACTCACACACATTGTTTTATTCTTGCTAGTGGGATAAATAGTTAACCAGAAAATACGGCAGCAGCATAAGAAAAAGAAGAAAAAAAATGGTATCATAAAAAATTATAACAATCCATTCGGTTGTTACCTCTCTGGTTCTCAGGTGCTTGTGTGTGTTTATTTGTGTTCATTCCTCTCTGGGAGTTCAGTCAATAGATTTGGATCACTTTGCAATGCCACGGGGAAAAAAACACAGCCCCGGTACAAAGAGTCATAAAAATAATGAGCTGGGCACGACGACGATGGCGACAATCAAGATGAAGATGATGAACAGCAAGAAGTTCTTACTGGCTTACTGCGTATGCGGCATTTCAATTTTTGGAATTCAGAAAGCTTACTCACCACGCCACTATCGAAATTTTTTATAATCATTAAACTATTAAAATAAAAACCCCTTTCTTAATCAACAACAAATATTTTAAATTTTCCTTCCCCAACCGCGCCTTACATGCAATCACAATTTGAGAACTTTTTAAGATATCTCTTTCCTCTAGTTTTGATTATGATGATGATGCTGTGACGGATGTTAATCTTATTGACTTATGTAACTGTACTAAAAACATGTCAGAATGTATAAAACAACATAACATCATTTTTTCGGATAAGCTTCCATTTATTTTTTAGCTAAGGAATTCCTTATCGCTGGACAAACAATGAAATAATTTCTATGATTATGAATGTAAAGTGCTATTATTATTAAAGCATTTGCTTTATTTTCTTGGGCAAAGCGGGATAACAACTTCCCTACAAGAAAAAGAAAACCGAAATCACAAATTATTCTTGGAAAATTGGACTCATGGCTTTAGCATGCTCTAGTTAGCTGATGAAACCTGAGCTGAAGCTGAAAATCTACAAATAAAAAAATACTACAAAAATAAAAAAAAAGTGTCCAGGAAACCATAAGAATGTTTTCGGTTTATTCTATATCTTATCACATGAACATGGAGACCAAATAAACCGAATACTGAACACCCCCGTATATGGTAAGTCCCAACACAAATGAATTTTAAGGTTTAACAGTATCAGAGACCCAAAAGTGTTTACCTACTACGATCCTCTACACACCTCCATCCCCAATTATTTTGTTTTCTTTTTTTTAAACTGGGTGTGTACTTTGTCAGTATTGTGTTCTGTGTGGAACTATTTGATATTTGCATAAGTTGATCAACAGGTGCCAGCGAAGCGGCAGCGTCAGTATCCCAATAAAAATTACGACGGTTGAGCAATGAGCATGAGGTAACACACTTTAAATTTTTAGAGTAATGTCATAAAATGAATATATATATATATAAATATATATAAAATTCTTAAAACTATAATCTCTTTTGAAACCTCAACTTTCTTAAATAAGATGTTATCTACTCTCTTATTGGGTATATCAGCATTAATTTACAATCCGCAACTTATCGCATCTAAAAAAAAACGAAATTCCCAATAGGCTAAATGAATTCCAATACTCAAACATTCACCAACCAACTTATGAACCCCTTGACAAATGCTATTTTCCCAAAAAAAATAAAAAACAAAATCTCTGACCGATTCCAGCAACATCGAAAAATCTCATCAAATACCAAAACAAAAAAAAAACTTCTCTCTCCTGAGACATCACACCATCTCCCCATGGGCCGTTGCATTCGAGAAATTTCAATAATTGCGGCTCATTAAAAGTGCCCGGATAATGGGAGCCCAAAGAAAATTTTCACAAAAAAAAAAAACACTACCAAACACTTCCGATTATGAAATTTTATTCGTTTAACAAAATGCCATAAGAGTGTAGGCACTCATCCAGTTGACGCTGGTAGTTGGAAGTTGAAAATTGTTCGAGAGACGACGGTAATCACAACATGAAAATATCTATAATGTAATTACGGCCAGATCGAGGTGACTGTCATTTGTTGTTAAAGAGAATCAACTAAAACTACAAAGCGATCACACAGAGAAAAAGGCAAAACCAGCGACAAGCAAGCGAAGACGACAACGGCAACGACTAAGACTCATTAAAACAATTTTAAAAAATAATACAAAATAATTACAATAAATTATGATTACGCTTGACAGTGACAGTGGTGGACCTGGACTCCATCGATGGTGGGTTTTTGGTGTCTCAGACACTACATATAAAGATATATGTATATATATATATATATATCACAGAATAGTGAGTTATGAGTACTTGATTACCTAGTACCGATTACCGCTACAGGTGCATTTGAAAGACGGCGTCACCGACTGGTGGCAACCGGCAACCAACGAAGATGAAGACCAGAAGACCAAAGACGATGACGACGACACCCAAGAATCACTCAACTGTGGTCAAAAAGTTCGTTGTTCATTTGCGCTCGATTCCCGTCTACATTGTGCTGGGTAAGCGGAATAGTTATGACTTCCTATATTCGACTGAACTTGGTTTTAGAAAATGAAATCTATTAAATAAAAACTTAAAATTAAAAAAAAATAACAAATTATATAAAACCACTTTTTAAATGTTTGATATTTTTGATAATATTATATTCCATTTAGTTTAATTTTAAAATAAATGTTTAAAAAAATAAACTAATTAATTTGAAAAAAAGTTTGAAAAGGACTAATTACTCATAAATTGAATAAATTAGGTTTCTTCATAAAAGAAAGAAAGGAGCAACTTTAAGTCGACTTCCCCTATCTTGAGACCCATTGGCTGCCCTGATGGTTTCTGCCATTGCTCTCCGTGTGCACTTCACCTCTTCGTTTTAATTCAATTCAATTTGGCCACAGAGATAATTACAATCTGTCCAGGTTAACGCGCATCGTGTGAGCGCTGCAAAGTGGTGCCGCCCATCGTTGATGACATGTACTACTCAGTCCAAGGGCAAGTACGCATATATCCAGGTTTTTCA